ACCGCCCCGGATGCGAACAGACCCAGTTAGTGCATGCCGCTCGAAGATACTTCCCGCTTCGGATCAGGGGATACGATGGGAAGTGGTGCCCGCTGAAGCTCACTGGAAGCATGGGGGGGCGGAGGCGACAATCACCCTGCTCGAGGTCGCCGCGACTAGGGTGGCCATCGTGAACCTGGAGTGCCCAGTTCAGCAGATTTTCACTTGGCGCGCGGCAGCTCACGCAGAGATGTTTCGTTTCTCGGGGGCCTCTCCGGATCAAGTGCTGTTCGGGCGTCAGCTGCGGCCTCTGGATTCACGGCTGACTGGCTCAGCGGCGCAGAAGGCTGAAACGGAGAACGGCGCCGCCGCTGAGATCGCGATGAAGAGGAGGATGGAAGCCAGGAAGGCGTTTGCAGAAGTTCTGGCTGACCGTCAAGCCCGTCTGGCAGCCATCTCCAAGACCAGGAAGTTCACGACCTGGGAGACGGGGGAACTGGCATTCTTCTGGGTGGAACTTGGGAGCCGGAGAGATAGGGTGAAGAAGTCGAAGGGCGAGTTCATGGGGCCAGCCCTCGTGATCAACCATTTTTACAAGCACGAGAAGGGCGAGGCAACCCCATGGAACCTGGTGCTGATCTACTGCAACAAGCAGCTGGTTCTGAGCGCCCCACAGCGGCTTCGAGCAGCTCCAGAGCACGAGAAGGCTTTGTACTCGGTCCTCCAGAAGCTCAAACGATTGGAAGTACATCCAGTGATGGAGGCGCTGGACATCGGAGCCAGATACTAGGGCTTCAGCCATCACTCGGCGCCCGCAGGAGCAGACCAGGATCGAGACGAGCGAGGAGTGCCAGCCGAGGAACCGGATGGGCATCCTGAATCCGAAGGCAGAGGAGACGGTGACGAAGAGATGGCAGGACCTCGAGAGGACGGCAGAGGAGATGAAGAGATGGCTGGACTTCTAGATGGTAGCGGCGAAGCGGGACCTGCACCTGGAAAAGTAGAGCTCAGCCCCGCGGAGTTCCTCGGGAGGCTGGCGGAGGACTCTGATCCCGAGCAAAATGGAGGGTCAGAGCCAGACGAAGAGGCGCCGCCAAGATCAAGGACAGCCTCCGAGGCACCGACGTCGGATGTACCTATACCACCAGGAACGCCTCGCGGAATAGAGCCAATCCGTTTCTCGACGACGCGCCGATCTCCATCAATAAGAGCATCGCAGGGAGGGGCGACCTTGGAGGCCCAAGGGATATACAGCCCGAGAAGAAGGCCAGAACCACAGAGGAGCTGGGCGCGAGATCTTTGCTGGGATGAAGGAAGACGTAGAGGCGTGCATTGCCGAGCTGGCGCTGGAGGGCGACATCCGATCAGCTTCCAGCGAGAAGCCGAAGCAGGTGCTCAGGAAAGCCGTGAAGAAGGGACAACGGGAAATCAATGCGTTGAAGGCTACGCCAGAAGTGAAAGCCAACATCGCAGAGGTAAAGATAGCGGAGGTGAACAACTGGATGCGCAACGAAGTGCGTCAAGCTGCCCTTAGACAAGCTGGACTCAAAGCCCATGGAGACGAGGTGGCATCTCATCATGAAGGACGAAGGCAACGTCAAGGCCAGGCTGATCCTTCTGGGCTTCCAAGACCCGAGACTGGCCACGATGGACAAGCCGAGTCCAACGATTCCAGCTAAAGGCAAGAACCTTGCTCTGCAGATGATGGCTAACGAGAGACTCCGCATCTACGCGGGCGATGTCAAAGCAGCCTTCTTACAAGGGGATCCCGCCCAAGCTAAGCACGACCTCCTACAAACCTCGTCGAAATTGAACGCAAGTTTTTGCCACCCCCGTCGCCCCCAAATTTCAATGTTCATCGACAGGCGCATCGCGGCCGGCGGGGTCCGAAGAAAACCTCGAAGTCGCCGGCGTCGGCGTGAACATTGAAATTGGGGGTCGGGGGGCGCCGCCAGGTCGCGGCTAAAACGTGCGTTCAATTTCGACGAGGGACGTGGTGGAACCGGTTCCAGAACTGCGAGAAGCTCTACACTTATCAGACGAGGAGTGCGTAAAGATGCTGAAGGCGGCCTACGGCCTGGTGAACGCCCCCACGGAGTGGTGCGAGAAGGTGGCAAGCGATCTCGGATAACTTGGGTACGTGGCCATGACGCTTGAGCCCTGCCCGTGGGTCAAGTACGACAAGCACGGAGAGGTCGAGACAGTCATCTTTGCGCGCGTAGATGACTTCGTGATAGGCATCCCGAGCAGTGAGATCGGCCAGAAGAACCGGATCGACGTGCAGAAGTTGCACCGCTGGGGCTCCTGGGAGATTTGGCTTCATCCCGCAGTGTGAGTCAGAGTGCGTACATCTCGCCGATTGCACCATAATCCAGAGCCTGGCCAAGGCCGTCCAGAAGGTGAAGTACATCGAGCTGAACAAGGAGGAGCACAAGCTGAAGGATGGCGCCCGGTTTTCCGAGAGTTTGAAGTCCCGATACAGGGGGGCATTGGGAAGTACCATGTTTTTTGTGATCACAAGGAATGACGTGGCTGGCTGGAGAAACGACCATACTTGGAGGAGAAGTTCCCACCATAACGATTGCAACCGTCAAGAGGATTAACAAGCTCACCCACACCGCTCACGAGACGTCATGGATCAACATCACATTCACGCCCATGAATGAACCCGTATTCATCACGTGGCATGATGCGGCTTGGAAAGACAGGGCGTCAGGAGGCTCGCAGGGCATTCTGATCCGCACCATCGAACACAGCATACTGGATGGACATCGTACCTCAGTTTCGGTGATTCAGGTAGCCTGGAGAAAATTACCGAGAGTGGCAAGGAGTTCTCTCAGCGCAGAGATCCAGATGGACACCATGGCGAATGGGGCGCTGGAGTGCGCAAGGTTGGCCTGGTACGAGATGCTGGCAGGACGGGCGGTACCGTATCACTAGATCAACGAGTGCATCCAGAAGGTTCTTGGGGCACTGGTCACAGACTGAAAGGCCATGTACGACAGCATAGTTCGAGCATGTTCATCCAGGTACGGATGCAACGATCAGAGATCCGCGATCGAGGCATTCGCGCTGAGGCAGAGCATGAAGGCGGCATCCACGTCACTACGCTGGGTCCACCCAGAGGCAATGATCGCCGATCGTCTCACGAAGTTGGAGTCTCCAGCGCTGCAGGCCGCGCTAAATTTCTAAAGCAAGCAGGTGTGGGCCCTGGTTCAGGACCCGAGTTTCACGTCCACCAAGAAGGGGAAGGCCATGCGTAAAGAAGTGCTGGATACAGTCAATGACGACGCCAGGCCTCCAGTGATCCCTAGACTCAGCGACTCCGACCAGGAGAGTGACTTTGAGATGGAACAGCTGCCGAGCCAGCATGTGATGAGTCAAGGTCTCGCGTCTCACACCGCCTCGTTTGCCGCCCTGTCCAGGCCCTCTCATCCTACCACGCTCATTTCGGGGCTTGAGGTTTCTAGTTTGCATGATAGGGGAGCACTGGACCACCCGTGTCGTAGAAATCGGATGTCCAATGGAATGTTGAGCAGTGTCGGGGAAACCTCCGATGGGGGAGGAGGAGGAGGAGGAGGAGGGGGGAGGGGGGAGGGATGGGGGGGAGGAGGGGGGGAGAGGAGGAGGAGGAGGAGGAGGAGGAGGAGGAGGAGGAGGAGGAGGAGGAGGAGGAGGAGGAGGAGGACGAGGAGGAGGACGAGGACGAGGACGAGGACGAGGAGGAGGAGGAGGAACAGGAGGAACAGGAGGAGGAGGAGGAGGAGGAGGAGGAGGAAGACGCCATCGCGACGTGAACTTGCCGCTTTCTCCCGGCGATGCGAGAAGACCAGACTCATGCCTTCTCAGCGCGAATCGTTTTTCGCTCTCGCTCTAGTACCAAACCTGGGGCCGCCCCAGCCGTTCTGCTCGATGCTGCTGCTGACTGGATGTGGGCGGGGCCCTCCGCTCTCGGTGCCGCTTTCTCGTGCCGCCAGAAGCGCGAAGCCCAGACCCCTTCTGGGGTGCGTTTCGGCCAGGATGTCGAGGCGAACCCGGCCGTGGCGACGAGGAGGGCCATGCGCAGAGGGGGGTAGGGGGAGCGGGGTAGGCCTCTTAGAAGCACCCTGCCTCTCAAAAGGCGCGGGCCTTGTCTGTAGATGAAGGGCCGGGCGTCCTCTTAAGGAGCAGCCTCTTAACAAGCTTTCCCCCCTCCCCCTACCCCCCTTTGTGCGCGCCGCCAGCAAGTTCTCGAGGCGAACTCGGCCGCGGCGACGAGGAAGCCCAGGAGGGACCAACGGCGCCCAGAAACCTCGACCCTCGAGCGATCGGACCCAAGTCCTCTCGACGCGAGCCTGCCGCGAGGCCCTCCCCGCTTCTCGGTGCGCGACGCCGCGTCCAGCCCCAGTTCCGTCAGGAAGGACAAGAACACACAGACACAAATACTCGTCGATCCCCAGGAACGCCACGGCTGGACGCAGCTCGAATGGTTGGTCGGTGTCGACCACGGGAGGGGTCCGCGGACCTATCTTGAGCGGCTCTGCCTTCCTCCCCACCGCTTGACCGGCTTCTTGATAGCTTGACGTCTAAGGTAGTCTGAAATAAGAGGATCCGAAAGGGGTTCGCGGTGCTCTTCGAGGTGCCAGCCACCGCGTTTTTGCTGCACCCATCGTTTGATTTGTGTGGCACCTGTCTGTGCACTCGTGCGCGAGCTGTTTCTGTCCGATCACGTCTGCAACTCGCGCACGTACGCTGCACGGGCCCCGAGAGACCGCCGATCTCTCGGGGCCCGTGCAGCGCAGACCCCCCGGCCGCTTCCGAGCCTCGGCGGCCAGCCCCGCGGACAGCCGATCGCCGCTCGCGGCACACCCTGAAGCAGTTCTCTAGCTATGTGAAGTCTCCAAAATTCTATGTTCGCATTTGGCAATAGCAAGAGCAGTTGCAGAAGGCGAGTTTGGGGGGGTCTAGCGAAGGCGAGGGACTGATCTCAGGCCTTCTCTAGGCTTTAGGCCAATGTTTTCGAGTCGGCCCTGCTCGCCCAGGTGGCCGAGTGGCTGGTGAGCCTGGCGGGCTCCCGAGAGGAGGGGCGGCTCTCCTTCGCCGACCTGGTCGGGGTCGTCAGGAGCATCCGTGGACAGCAGCGCCAGGCCAGGGTCAGTCGGGAAGCAGTGCTTATTATTGCTTGTTTGTTTCTTGTCCCCCCCCCGTCCTCCTCCTCCTCCTCCTCCTCCTCCTCCTCCTCCTCCTCCTCCTCCTCCTCCTCCTCCTCCCTCCTCCCTCCTCCTCCCTCCTCCTCCTCCTCTCTCCTCCTTCCTCCTCCTCTCTCCTCCTCCTCCTCCTCCTCCTCCTCCTCCTCCTCCTCCTCCTCCTCCTCCTCCTCCTGCCCGGCCTCTGCTTTCCCTCTCGCCCTTTTGCTGCGTCTGTCGTCCGCTCTGGCCGCCCTGGCCAGCGCCTCCTTGTCCGTCTTTCCTACTCGCTTGTTGCGGCCGCCTCCTTAAGGGCACGTGGCCGCCGACACGAATGCGCATGAGTGTCTTCACCCCAGGGGATCCCAAACCTCCACCTCGCGGGTTAGGGTAAAGTGGGAGGAGTGTCGAGGTGCAGTGCTTGTTCGCCCCAGACGATCCCGAACCTCCATCTCGAAGGCCGAGCTAAGGGAAGAAGAGGGGGAATGGTCGAGGGACAATGCTTGTTCACCTCAGAGGATCCCGAACCTCCATCTCGAAGGCCGAGCTAAGGAAAGAAGAAGTGGAATGGTCGAGGGGCAATGAGTGTTCACCCCAGAGGATCCCGAACCTCCCTTTTTCAGGTCGAGCTCAGGCGAAGAGGGGGGGAGGAGCAATGCTTGTTCACCCAAGGGGATCTTGAATTTAGGTGAAGGAGGAGGAAGACGAAGCGCAATGCGTGCTCACCCCAGAGGATTCAGAACCTCCGTTTTGAAGGTCGAGCTTAGCAATGCGTTTTCACCAAAGGTGATCCCGAACCTCCGTTTTGAAGGTCGAGCTTAGGTGAAGAGGGGGGGGTCGAGGAGCAATGCCTGTTCACCCCGGAAGATTCCGAGCCTCCGTTTTGAAGGCCGAGCTTATGGGAAGAAGGGGTAGGTTCGAGGGGCAATGCCTGCTCACCCCCAGAAGATCTGGAATAGTTGTTTGAAGGCCGAGCTCTGGGAAGAAGAATACTGGGTAGGGTCGAGAGGCAATGCTTATTCACCAAATGAGATCCCGAACCTCCATTTTAGAGGCCGAGCTGAGGGGAGATAGAAGGATAGGTTCGAGGTGCGAAGCTTGTTCACCAAGGACGATCCTCAGCCTCCGTTTTGAAGGTCGGTCGCAGGGGAAGAAGAAGGGGGAGGGTCGATGGGGCAATGCTTGTTCACCAAAGGTGATCCCTCACTTCCGTTTCGAGGGTCGAGTTTATGGGAAGAAAGGGTAGGGTCGAGGGGCATCGCTTGTTCACCCCAGAAGATCCCTAACCTCCGTCCCAAAGGTCGATCTTAGGGGGAGAAGCAGGGGGAGCGTTGAGGGGCAGTGCTTCTTCGCCAAAGGTGGTCCCGAACCTCCGTTTTGAAGGTCGATCTTATGGGAAGGAGGTGCAGGGTCGAGGGGCAATGCTTTCACCCTAGAAGATCCCGACCTTGTGTTCTGAAAGTCGAACTTGAGGAAATAAGGTGGAGGGTCAAGGGGAAACGCCTGTTCACCCCAGGAGATCCCGAGCCTCCATTTGAAGTCGAGCTTAGGTGAAAAATAATCAGGAGAATGATAATAATAATGGTAATAATAATGCTAGTAATACTAATAATAATGATAATAATAATAATAATAATAGTACTACTAATAATACTACTAATAATAATAACAATAATAATAATCATGATAATAGTAATAATAATACTGATACTACTACTACTACTACTACTACTACTACTACTACTACTACTACTACTACTACTACTACTACTACTACTACTACTACTATTACTACTACTACTACTACTACTACTACTACTACTATTACTACTACTACTAGTACTACTACTACTACTACTACTACTACTACTACTACTACTACTACTACTACTAATAATAATAATAATAATACTGATAATAATAATGATAATAACAATGATAATAAATAACAAGACGACGAAGAGGGTGAGTGTGTTTTTATTTGTTTCGCCGACGTGGTCGGGATCGTCCGAAGCATCCGGGGCCAACAGCGCGAAGCCAGGCCTCAAGAGAAGAGGTGCCAACTGCGCGAACAGCGCCTCAAGAGAACAGGCCTCAAGCCAGGCCTCAACAGCGCGAAGCCAGGCCAACTGCGCCTCAACTTCCACTCCGTATGTTTTCGATGCTCTCATTCGGGGTGCTGTTTTTCCCGCTCCTCCTCCCAGACGGGGGCTCGACGGACGATGAGGGCAGAGGCGCGGCGCTTTGTCGCCCCAGCTGATCCAGAACCTCCGTTCTGACATTCGACGTTCCTCGGGCGAAGGGAACTATGCACATGCACCGATCCTGGCAAGGCCCATCCTTGACCCAGGATCGGTGCATGTACCTTCCGAGCCAAGGTAGGAGGGCGTATGCACCGATCCTGGGCTCAGGATGGGCCTGGCCAGAATCGGTGTATGTGCATAGTTCTCTTTCCTCGAGTTCCCCGCCTTGGATGAAACGAATGTCCCAGACGGGAGGAGTAGAGCTTTTTCTGCCACGGGGGCAAGCCCAGTGCTTGTTGAGGTTTCTGTGTCCTCTGACCTCTGACATGCTGTCAGGAGCAGAGAAAAAGAAAGAAAAAACAGAGTCGGGCGGGGATCAATAGGGCCCCCTGACATGCTGTATCCTCTGAGATGCTGTATCCCCTGGCAGGGTAAAAACAGAGTCGGTGTATCCTCTGACATGCTGTATCCTCTGGGATGCTATAGGGAACAGAGAAAAGAAAAGAGTCGGACGGGGATCAAGAGGCTTTTGATGCCTGGGGGCGGCCGCCTCCCTTGCGGCTCCCTCTTCTCCTGCGTGGCCGCGCACTCAGCGCGCACGTGGCCCGTGCCCGCCTGAACTTGGCGGGCTGCTCTTACAGTCGGCCCGGATTAGTAGGTCGATCTTGCCAAATCAAAAGGGTACCTAAGTGTCCTGTGTCTCGCGACCTACAACACTCGTCAAAAATAAACAGAAGCATTCTGTTTTCGGTACTTGTATGGTCAGCGCTACTCCAGATAAGTGACTTGGACGCGAGGGTGTCAAAAATCCGGCACACCCCTCGCAGCATTGAAGAACGCAGTTTCTAACAACCGCTCGAAAATATCGATCGCCGTGATTTCCAATTGCATTTCTGAATATTTTTGACGAGGCTTGTATGCCTCCTACATTCCTGTGGCAATGTGGCACTCGGAAGGGTCTTGTGTCCTCTCGCGTGTCCTGTCCAATGGAGCCCGACTGTATCGCTGCTGGCAAGCAGTTTATCGCATCTGCCGTAGCTGATGGGAAGAGTTACTCTGGCCAGGCTTGTCTTGGAGAGTTGGCCAGGGTTGGTCGGAGGGTTGGCCCGCATAGCCCGGATGTTGCCAGGGGTGTCCTTGGCCCATGTTGTCCCCACCTTTTCGATGCATTCGCCCCCCCCCCCCCTCCCACCCCGCGGAAATCCACGAGGATTTCCTAGGCCTAGTCAGGGATATTCTGGCGGCGTTTGGACATTTTGTGTGCACCTTGGGCCAGGGACACGCGTTGGCAGCGACCGACGGGGCCGAGAGACAATAAACAGCGCGCAGAAGCGATCGAAAACGTCAGAACGACGACGTCGACGTTGTCGTAATCGTCGTCGGCGCGGCAGCGCCAGCGCCACTCCCGCGGCGCACTGCCAACCCCAGACATCTGGCGGATTGATCTTTGTCAAGTCCGCGGGCCTTGGTCGATTGCACCCCTTCCCTTGGCATCGCTCGGACGTGTGTGTGTGTGTGTGTGTGTGTGTGTGTGTTGGTGTGTTGGTGTGTTGGTGTGTTGGTGTGTTGGTGTGTTGGTGTGTTGGTGTGTTGGTGTGTTGGTGTGTTTGTGTGTGTTGGTGTGTTGGTGTGTTTGTGTGTGTGTTGGTGTGTGTGTGTTTGTGTTGTGTGTTGTGTGTGTTGGTGTTGGTGTGTGTTGTGTGTTTGTGTTGTGTGTTTGTGTTGTGTGTTGGTGTGTGTTGGTGTGTGTTGGTGTGTGTTGGTGTGTGTTGGTGTGTGTTGGTGTGTTGGTGTGTTGGTGTGTTGGTGTGTTGGTGTGTTGGTGTGTTGGTGTGTTGGTGTGTGTGTGTGTGTGTGTGTGAGTGTGTTTTTCCTTCGGCGTGTGTGTGTATCTTTCCTTCGGCGAGGACCATCGAGGAGCATCTTTGATCATTTGGCGGAAAAACCACGCACGAAACCGACTAAAGCGCAGGGAATTGACGTCCGAGCGATGGCCAGCTCCTGGCGACCAAATTCTCGTTCTGGGTCACACAAAGTAATCATCACTATGTCGACGGCCACAGTGCCCGACGAGTGCCCCCAGAAGTCGAGAGTGGCATCACATCTCCGTTTGTCAGCCACGCGCAGATGGGGAGTAGGGGGGAAGGGGGGAAGGCTTCTTCGACGCACCCCTGCCTCTTAGAAGGTGCGGGCCTTGCCTGTAGGACTAAGGCCAGCGCCTTCTAAGAAGCAGCTTCCTATAAGCTTTGTCAAAAATACATGGAGACGCCCTTCAAAATCGAAGCGCCCGATAGTTCGGGTAATTGTCAGAAAGCGCGTTCTTCAATGCTGCGAGGGCACTGCCGGATTTTGGACACCCCTGCGTGCGAGCCAAACATCCCATGCCAGCATTGAAATATCGCCGACCGCACAAGCGCCGAAAACAAAAGCTGTCAGTTGATTTGTGACGAATCTTGTAAGAAGCCTTCGCCCTCCCCCAACCCCCTTGTGCGCGCTGGACTTTGCCTGGGTCCGACCAGGCGGAAACTGGAAACAAACTCGGGGAACAGAGCTATTTTGTTTTGGGACGGAGGCGCGGAGCCCCCACGTACAGAAGTCTTGAGCCAAAATGGCTACGGAGGGAGGAGGAGGAGGAGGAGGAGGAGGAGGAGGTGGAGGAGGAGGAGGAAAAGGAGGAAGAGGAGGAGAAGGAGGAGGAGGAGGAGAAGAGGAGACCTGTGCCTCTCCCTTCGCCGGCGGCCCGCCGGACCTCTCCAGGAGCTTCGGCCGGCAACTTTCGGAGGCGACGATAGGGGCGAAGAGCCCAGGGGCGGGCATTACCAGGCGCGACGATAGGGGCGACGATAGGGGCGAAGAGCCCAGGGTCGACGATAGGGGCGAAGAGCCCAGGGGCATTACACGTGTCCGCCAGGGAGCCTCGCCGAAGGCATGGACCATCGGCGCCCATGGATACATGTATTGCTCCCCCATGTGCTATTCGCCCCCGTCGTCGCCCCCGAAGCCTTGGGGTCCCAGCGCGCGACTCCGAAGCGGCGGGCGTGGATGCACCTCTGGCACCTCTGGCGGCGGTGCCGCCAGAACGCCGCGTCCGAAGGTGCAGGGACGTGTATCCCAGATCGCCGGAAGAGGTGCGCTCTCGACCCGCGAATTAAAACATGTATCCCAGATCGCCCAAAACTTCAGGCCGCCGCCGCCGCTTCCGAAACGAAGAGGTCGCCGCCGCCGCCGCCGTCGTCGTCGCTGTCGTCGATGGCGTCGTCGTTGTCGGCGCCCCCGGCTTTCCCCAGCCAGTCTCCCCCTGTCGCGCCCGCCCCCCCCCCGCCCTCTCAGGGGAGGGGGGGGGGGACGGAGAGCGGGAGGCCACGTGGGAAAGGAAGGGCGGGCCTGGGGAGGGCCGGGGGGGGGGGGATGGATCATCCCCCCTCCCTCCGTGCCCCCCCCCCTTGGCTCCGTGTTGTCCCTCCCCCCCTCCCCGTCGCCACTGCCCGCGCGCCGCGCTCGAGAGGCCAAGTTCGCCGTGCACCTGCGGTGCTTCGAGAGGCTGGACCGGCAGGTCGGGGGCCACATACCCTACCCCTACCCACCACGGCTTCTGCAGGGGAAGGTGGGGTTCACTTCGTTCGGGGCCCGAGCGAAGTGAACCCCACCCTCCCCCTCAGAAATCGTGGGGGGGAGGGGCAGGGCTCGCATGTGGCCCCCTAGCAGGGGAGCCGGCGGCTGGCAGTGGGCGAGGTCTCGCGCTTCCTGACCGCAGTCGGGTGCTGCCCGAGGACCCGCCGCCTCTTGCGTGAGCCTCCTTTCAGGAGGGGAAAAAACACACAGACACAATTCATCGTCGAGTCCCAGGAAAATATGGGGAACTATGGGAATTGGGCGGGAAGACACCCCCCCAGAAAAAATATGGGAAAAGATGGGGTATCCTGCTATTTGTGTGTATTGATTTGTGTGCCCCAGGGCCCCTTCATCCTTGAGGCCTCCGTAATCTCGAGTTTCGGGGGTTGCGGACATGTCCTTTGGTTCCTTGACGCAATGTTTTCTCGCCTCGGGATGCTCTCCAGCAGCTGCGCCTCGCCGAGAGCGCGGCGGGGCTGCCTGGATCGTCCCGAACGGCCGCTGGAGACCCGAGTTAGGGCCCGAAAGCCAAGGGACAACGTCAGGCCGCCCAACCCTGAGATCATCGGACAGGGGTTTTCGGACAGTTTCGTCGGTTCCTGGCGGTGTCCCAGCCTCGGGATGCGTTTCAGTTTCAGCGGCTGCGCCTCTCCGGGAGCGTCCCCGAGCTATGGCCACAAACCCACCAGCGGAGGTGGGAACCTGAGATCCCGGCGTCGCAGTGTTTTCACACCGGGCGTTTTCGCCGGGCTTCGGGTCCTGGGACCATCACAGATCGATTTGGCTCGAGTAGTGCGGCAGAAACACGAGTTCTAAGGTCTCTGGTCGCGATTATCTGCGATGCTTCATTTTTTCGCAGCGTCGGATCTCAGGGCGAGTGCGTATTGCCCCGTTCAGCTCCACCGACACCACGCAGCCCGTGCTGGCCCTTCTTGCGCCGCTTGCGTCGCATTGAAGGGCTGTCGGCGGACAAGCGCACGTTGGTGCTGGCGCATGTCCTGAGGGTCGTCGATCTCTGCAACCAGTCGAAACGCCTCCTCGATCCCTCAGATTCGGCGGTGGCGGCGACGACGGCGGTGGGTGGCGCCGACGGCGACGGCGACGACGACGTCGGCGGTGGCGGCAGCGGCGACGACGGCGGAGGCGGCAGGCGGCAGCGACGGCGTCTTCGTTGCGGCGCCGCCGCCAGAGGTGTATCCACAACCGCCGCTTCGGAATCGCGCCCAGGGGCTCTCAGCTTGCGGGTCCATCCCTTGATCTTCGCGGCTGGATGTTTTTGGGAGTACTGTTGGATTTGTTTTGGGGGTCTTCCAGGAGGCCTCTCGTCGCCAGTCACATAGGCATCCCTGGACAGGTGTGGGGGGCGACTTTGAGGAGGAGGAAGCACAGACAGCCAGCGTCTCTGTTTGCAGTCCCTTGCGAATCCTACCCCTGCGGGTCCCATCGGCGATGGGGCATCGGACATCCCCGTGAGGGTTCCCCTCCTCTCCTCCTCCTCCTTCTCCTCCTCCTCCTCCTCCTCCTCCTCCTCCTCCTCCTCCTCCTCCTCTTCAGGCCCCACTGGTGTTTCATCGAACTCTGAGGCCCCGCTGGTGTTTCAAAAGTCTGGCCCGCGGCTGCGGGGCAGGGATCGCATGCGGTTGCCTGTCGTCGTCGCCGTTGGCCGAGGCAGCGCCGAGGGGCGACAAGGGTCTAGGATTGAGCGTCGTGTTTTCGAAGAGGCTCGAAGAGGCTCGAAGAGGGTCGAGGGTTGAGCGTCAAGGACCGAAAAGGATGGGAGAGAAGGGGGTCGAAGAGGGTGGAGGGTTGAGCATCGAGGGCCGAAGAGGGTCGGAGAGGGTCGAAGAAGAGCGATGAGCGCCAGTTCTTCACCACTGTTTGGGGGGCTCTTTTTGGGCCGTCCGAGAAATTTGAGGGTCCGGGGCGATTTCGGAGGGATGCGGGTGGAAGGATCGCATCGTCTTCCTCCTCCTCCTCCTCCTCCTCCTCCTCCTCCCTCCTCCTCCTCCTCCTTCCAGGCCCTCTCTCTCCTCCTCCTCCTCCTCGTCTCCTCCTCCTTTCTGCTCCTCATCGATCCTGCTGCTCGTCCTCGCTCTCCTCCTCTTCCTCCTCCTCCTCCTCCTCCTTGTTCTCCTCCTTCTCCTCCTTCTCCTCCTCTTGCTCCTCATCGATCCTGCTGCTCCTCCTCCCGTTCCTCCCCCTCATTATCCTCCTCCTCCTCCTCCTCCTTTCCTCGTCTTATTCCGCTTCCTCGTCCTCCTCATCCTCATCCTCCTCATCGTTCCTCTTCCTCCTCCTCCTCCTCCTCCTCCTCCTCCTCCTCCTCTTGCTCTTCTTCCTCACCACGCGTCTTGTTTCTTCGCGCTGATCCTCCAATTTCGGGTGCTGGGGCCTCTGGCGGCGTACCGTAGTTTTGGTTGTGATCGCCTTCGCGCCCCGCCCAGGCAGCGCCTTCCTCGCGCTTCGTTGCTACTTCCTTTCCTTGCTGCTCATCATTATCTTCCAGCCCACTTCATCATGCCCATCTTCTCTCTGCCGATCCTCCCATCATCCCTAAGCTGTCTTATCGTCTTTGCCCTCGTCCTCATCCTCCTCGTTCCCGTCGCCTGGCGATGGCACGGAAACACAAGAGGGTGAGTATCCTTGCGTTTCCTCATCCGCATCCGCATCCAATTTCTCATCCTGATTGTCATCCCGTCCCCTTCCTCCGTAAACTTCTCCTCTGAATGCACCTCCCCTCTCTCTCTCTCTCTCTCCTCGTGCACATCCTGTGCTTGATGCCTTTCGCAGTCGCTAATGCGCCGCACGTGCATACCCGAGCGTCGGAGGGAAATCGCGTACCAACGAACCGTCTGGCACGCTGCTCTCCTGCCCTCTCCCACTTGGCCTGCGCTCTCCCAGTCTTGCGTCGTCGAGCGAGGGAGGAGGAGGAGGAGGAGGAGGGAGGAGGAGGAGGAGGAGGAGGAGGAGGAGGAGGAGGAGGAGGGAGGAGGAGGAGGACGACGACGACGACGAAGAGGACGAGGAGGACGAAGAGGAGGAGGAGGAGGAGGAGCGTCGTTTTGGCTCCTGCCGCCTTCCGCGCACTGCCCCGCCCATGCCTTCCCTGTCCGATTCATCCTTCAGACTCGTGCCAGCCCTTCTCGATCGTTTCTCCTCCCCCTCCTTCTCCTCCAACGCGTACTCGTTGTTTTCCTCTTCGCCCATTCGAACTCATACCCACGCGGCGTCGCCTCTCCCCCACCTCGCCATCGTTCCTTATCCTCATCTTCCTCCTCGCTTCTTTTCTCTCCCTCCTCCTCCTCTTCCTCATCCTCCTCATCCTCACTCGTCCGCATCGTTCCTCTTCCGAACTTCTCCTCTTCCTGGCTCCTCCTGATAATCATATTCCTATTCCTCGTTCCTTCTCCTCCTCCTCTTCGTGTCCCTCGTAGTGACTTCCCCCGTCGCCCGTCTTCTTATAGATCTTCCTTCCTCATTCCCCCTCTTTATCCTCCCCAGCCTCGTCGCCACAGGCAGGGCCAACCAGGATGAGAAGGATGAGCAGCGAGTGGGGATGGGGCCGGGCGGGGCTGAGGAGACAGTTGAGCAAGGAACCAGAGGGATGAGGAGGAACCGCGAGGGGGAGGAACGAAGAGGATGGGGAGGTTGATGAGGAGGCGGAGCGATAAAGAGTCAGGAGGACGAGAAAGGACATGAGGAGAACGGGTGGTAGATGAACGAGGAGCGGTGAGGAGCAAGGAGAAACGATGAAAAACATGAGGGGGAGCAAGGTCATGTATGAAGATGGTGGGTAGGGGACCGAAGGGCGTGTGTGTGTGTGTGCGCGTGTGTGTGTGTGTGTGTGTGTGTGTGTGTGAGTGTGTGTGTGTGTGTGGGTGGGTGGGTGGGTGGGTGGGGGTGGGTGGTTGGGGGGGGGGGGCGTGCGTGCGTGCGTGCGTGCGTGCGTGCGTGCGTGCGTGCGCGCGCGCGCGTGCGTGCGTGCGTGCGTGCGTGTGTTGAGGAGGGCGAGAAGGAAGGAAGCTCGATGACGAAGAGGATGGGGACTAATACAGGGAAGAGGCAGCTCACATTCCGGAGCATGAGTGAGCGAGCGAGCGAGGCTGGGAAGGAAACGGAGTGAAGAACGAGTGCAATGATGGGCGAGAAAGATAAATAACGATGACCAGGTGGAGGAAGAGGAGGAGCATGGAGGATGAGGATGGTCATGTTAAAGAGGATGAGGGAGGAGAGATAGGTGGGGCGGATGGAGGACGAGCAATGAGGAAGAGGAGGAGAAGGGGGAGGATAAGCAGACGGAGGATGTTGATGAGCGGGACGAGAAGGGATGAGTGAGAACAAATGTTGCCCAATGAAGAGTATGGAAGTGATGACCACGAGGAGGAATATGAGTAGGATGGTAAGGTAGAGGAGAGGGATTAGGAGAAGGACGAGGACAATGACTATACGAATGAGTGAATTAGTTTTCCATGGTCCAAGGGAGAATGGGTGTGATGATGATGATGCTGATGGTGATGCTGATGGTGATGCTGATGGTGATGATGATGATGATGATGATGATGATGATGATGATGATGATGATGATGATGATGATGATGATGATGATGATGATGATGATGATGATGATGATGATGATGATGATGATGATGATGATGATGATGATGATGATGATGATGATGATGATGATTGGGGAGGGAGATGGATGAGGAGGGGGAGGTGTGGAAGCGAGCAGGAGAAGAGGAGGGGGACGAACAGGATTCACAACATGATGAGTAAGGATGAGTAAGGAGGAGGCGGGCAAGATGATGAGGAGTGATAATGACTACGGAAGGCGAGGACGAGAAGGCGGTGGGCAAGGCCCTTCATCAAGCCGAGTATAATAAAGGATCCTTGGTGCTAGACGTGCCCCATGTGCAGTGCAGCGCCCTCTGCTGGGCAGGGCTTCTCCCCGAGCTGACTTCAAACGCATCCTTGGGATTAGACGTGCCCCCCTCTGCCGTGCAACGCCCTCTGCTGCAGCGCCATCTGCTGGGCAAGGCCCCTCCCGGAGCACGTTAAAAAATACATCCTTGGTGTTAGACGTGCCACCACTGTTGTGCAGCACCCTCCGCTAGGCACGGCCCCTCCCCAGGCTGACTAAGGAAGCATCCTTGGTGCT